CTTTTGTGGCGAAATGTATTAACGACGACGGTAGGGTTTTTGTGGCGGCAAGTAGCTTGTAGCGGCAACACACCTAGAGGGAAAAATCAACGCGTTTTTTTTGGAGCATTAGCGGCGTCAGACGTTGCCGCAATTGCCGTCACCGCTAATAGTATGCATTGTATTCATTTCCAACCATCGGATGAAATGTAGATCGAACAGACATGGTTTACAGATAACATTTGACGTGGATCGACAGTGTGAAGATATTAACGGCGACGCCTTTAGCAGCGACAACCACCTTTAGCGGCAACAACTAACGCGAAAATTACTTGTCACCGCTAAAGGCGTCGCTGATAATTCCTTCATTTCTTGTAATGATATATGTATATAGTAATTATTGTGACAGTTGGGCTTAGTTGGGATTGGGATAAATGCCACCTCTTGAACCGTTGCATCGCTTAGTTTGTGTCGTTTAGGCCTATATAAATATGTATACCATCCATGTGTAAAATGTTGAATGATAATATAAGATGATTGTATGATTTTATGTGTGATATAGCAACTTACTTTGTATTCTCCAACACTTTTCACCTATTTCTCTTGCAAATATTATTTTGGAAACGGGTTTTAACTGTTTAGGGTCGCATTTAAGTCGTTGGTAACGAAAGTTTTTCTATTATTGAAATCATATAATTATATAAGACTTCATTTTGATTATTACCACTCTTAACATCTTTTAGACCCACTCGTTTCATTTCAACTTTGAAATTTGAATTCCATTTAAATCAACCAAACTTTATCAATAATCTTCATATATCAAAATCATATTTTCAAAGTTAATTAACTACCACAGTTTGACTTTTGAGAATGGTCAACAGTTGGTATTTTATATGTTTTGCCCTTTATCAAATAAAGATCAAAGTCTTTTTCGAAAAAAAAAAAAAAAATCAAAGCCTCAGTGCTTAGTTTTAGTTGTTAATAGCTGATAGTTATGTAAAACAAATAGATCTTCATATGAAATAGAGAAGATATCTTAATATAGATAGCTGTGATTCTTCTTCCAACTAAAACAAGGTTTATACCCAAAACCAGCAGTATCCAATGTGTGTTTTGGGTAACTAACTTTACACGTAATAGCTTCTCCTAGGAAAAGAACATATTCCCATGGTTTTAATGAATTATTAAATGTAGGATATATCAAAGATGATAACGGAACTCAAGAAAATCCATAGAAACGTGACATAAAGTTTAAAAAGGCAACGACCTACACATCTGCTTCCATCTCCTTGGTTTATCGAAAGATTTATGAATGAATGAAGAAAATGACGGGAAGTGGTAAAAAAAAGAGTGTGTGTGGGGCTGCATGTGTCACAGACCAAACAGTACAAAGAGCAAGAGCAGTAGCAGTAGCAGTTGTACCAAGTGACAGAAACCATAAAAAGCTTTCCATAAAAGACATGCAAATGCAAACACCTCCTTTGTTTCACTCTCTTTTGTCTTCTCCCTTTTCTTCCTGACAATTCACAAGACCACCCCCTCTTATCATTATCTGTTAACCCTACTCGTCTTAATTTCTAAATATATATTAAAAATAATATATGCAATTCTATCGTATTCTATTTATAAAAATTATATATTCTTATATTTATATATAGTCAATCTGAAAGGAGAGAGTAATATAGATTGTTTTATTTTGGAAATACCTGTAATTATTTTACTAACATTTCAATTTAGATATTTGTCATATTGACATTGATCCATGAAAGTTAGTTATAACGTCGGTTTGGTTCATTGAGATTTATCAAAATTGTGGTATTAATTATGTGGTCTTGTTAAAATTCGATTCTGTCTGAAATTAGTAATTATTTTGTGCAAATATTACAGCAAAAATTAATAAATTTTGTTTGGAGCGACTTTCTCAAATTTAAGGACATTTAAATATTTTAGATATTTAACTAACACTTAGAAGCAATATATCTAGCATCTAAAAAGTAAAAAAAATGTAGTTTCCGTCATTAAAGTAAACTTTGCAACGTAATTTAATTAACGTTGTTGAAATGCACTGTCGCAATTTGTAACAGGAATCCATCACTAAAGTAAATTGTCCAACAAGGCATAGCTAAAAGCCCATAAAAGTGTCACTAAAGACAATCCCTGATGCTAAAAGCGTCGCTTAAATTACGTAGTCCAAGCTGTGACAAGTGATAGCGTTCCGATTCTCTTATTCATGGTTTCGGTTGAACTGGTCAAACGCCATTGTTGAAGAAGCAAACTTGCTTAGCTCTTGTTGTAAACTAAACGAGACATTCCTTTCATTTCTTGCGACACCCAGGAAATCCCTAGTTAAGTCACCGTCGCCAAATTCATTGCCACCGGTTGCTTTGCTTTGCCTTGACCCGTCTGCTGGAGCTGTCGTCATCATCATCAATCTTTCACCATTGCGAGGGCTTGATAAGCTGGACAGAGCTGTACTCATGAGGCCAAATCCGTTATCTTTTCCACCAGAAACTCCAGGGTTTGTGCTTCTTGTTGACCCCATTTGAGCTGCCTTCTGTAGAAGAGCGGTGGCTGACATATTAGCTACCGGTGGTGGTGGTGGTGGTGGCAGAGATGAACACATGAGATTGTTTTGAGTGTTGGAACCACCGTAATTAAACATCGAGTTCAACTGCATCTCCTTTTGGGATTCTTCTTCTTCTTTTAAAGATAACCCTTGTGGTAATCCATTATATCTACTCAACCAGTTCACCATCTCCGGTTGTAGCATTCCTCCATTGTTGTAGTTGGAGCTTGAGGAGCCCAAGAAAGTTGAACTATTAGTGTTTTCGAGGTGGGGATTGTTGGCATTGTGGTCTAACCAGATCGGCAATCTTTGTTTGGATCCATTGACATCCAGAGGACTCTCTAAACCGCCACCAAAAACACCTTGAAACTGTGTATTACCGGCGCCACCACTACCACCACCAGGTCCACCACCGTTCATAATCATCAGATCGTTCCGAAAGCTCAGATGTGGCATGCTTGGGAGCACCGTGAGTGATGTCATCCTCGAATTTTCTTCCATTAACGCATCACAAAATGCTCTATGTGTAATGAAGCTATCTTTCCTGTTTTAAGATACAGAAACATGCAAATCTATACACATACCGAGAAAATCTGGAAGCATTAATACTGAAATTAAATACGTAAAGTAGAAATAGGTAGATACCTGGAAAAGAGGGTTCCACAGTCACACTTGTACTCTCTGGTACCACAAATCTTACTATGAGCTTTCCAATCGGATTGGACTGCATACTTTTTGGAACACTTTTCGCACTTCCATTTCTTTTCTCCATGTTTCCGGCTGAAATGCTTCTTAACTCCGGTGAGATCTCCAAGAGCTCGAGAAGGGTCATGATGAACACAGCTTTTTTCCGGGCATATGTAAACTTTCTTCTTTATCACTTCGTTTTTGTTTCTTTGCTTAAGCTTCCATGGAAGGTTGTGTCCTCTTCTATGAAGCTGCAAATTCTGGTCTCTTTGAAAACCCTTACTGCATATCTCGCACACGAATCGGTTTGTAGCCATTAGAGATGTCGGGGATAACGCTATCACTTCCGCATCTGGATCTACGTATACATATAATTAAGAAAGATAAGTTAAATATAATTTAGAAGTATTCAGATCAAATAATTAGAGAAGGACACGGGTTCGTGTTTACCTGGATTACCGGCCTGATTACGCTTTCGTTTACCTGAAACGGAAGAATTAGGGTTAGGGTTAGGGTTAGGGTTTGGGATGGGGTCGTGGATGAATGAGCTGAGAGAAGAAGGTGGTGATGAGAACCCATCACCAGACATCATTTTTGTTGAATCTTTAATTAAAAACAACGGAAGACGATGTAAGTGATGACAACAAGGGAGCTTTTCACTGATAAATACAGATGAACATGAAAATATATATGAAGATGATGATGAGGAGGAAAGGGACGACGATGGCTGTATCTTAAGTGTTTTTCAACGATGAAGGAAATCCATGGCCAGACGTCTTTCTTCGTTGAATCTTAAATAAGAAAAATAAAAAATTGCGTGAGTGAAGAATAACAGATCAAAGAGCTGCTAACTAGTAAATACAGATGAAAAGATGAAGAGATGATGATGATGATGATTATGATGGCTGCAACTTAAGTGTTTTTCAAAGATGAAGATGACCCATAACCAGACGTCATTTTCATTGAGTTGTATAAGAAGAAAAACAACAAACTAAGGTAAGTGATGATCAACAAAAGAGCTTCTACCTAATAACCACAGATGAAGGTAAAAGATGAAGATTATGGCAATAACATAGCTGTTCTACATAGACGAACAAAACCCATAACCAGGCATCATTTCTATCGAATCTTGAAGAAGGTAACAACGATTCAACAAAGGCAAGTGATGAGGAAGAAAAGAGCTGGTAACCAGCAGATACTGATGAGGAGATGAAGATGATGATGGGTGTAAATTAAATCAAGTGTTATTCAAAGATGAAGAAAACCCAGAAAAAGAAAGAAACTCCATGGATTTTTCTCGAGTTTTGAAGCAAGTTGTGAGGCAGATGTTCGTCTTTTTGCCTTTGTTTGAATCATATATATCATACAGAAAAAACACACACATGATAGCTACTTCAAAAAAGAATATTTCTGTTTCTCTCTCACACACAGAAAAACACACATAGAGAAAGAAAGAGAAATGGAATGGAGTGAGCCTTATCTTGCACGGCTTCCATGTACAGTAGGCCAGCCATGGACTCAGATTGACCACATCTTTTTAGCTTGCAATATCGGATCTTTGGAATTTTAACATGTAGGTTTTCAGCGTGGAATACCTTAAGTTTCTTAATTTAGTTTCTTCCATGCAAAATTACAAATTACATATAAAAACATATTTCCTTTTTATCAATTTCAGTTTTGGAAAATACAATTCCAAAATTAAAGTTCCGCACTAAGACATAAATAATCAAATAACAAATTTGACGAAAATTAACTTATTACCGGACGAACAACACCACCACCTGGCTTCTCTTTTCTTCTGTCGGACGAACACCACTACCACCGGGTCCACGATTACGAGCCCTAGCCATGAATGTCATGCTTCTAATTTCGTGCGGATGTACAATGAATCCTTCATGCTTCTTATATTTGTTAAAACTAGTAAATGGCATCATCTATGCTTCTAGGTCCTTTCATCATGTAAGAACTAGTAAATGCAACCCCTTATTGGATGTTTGTGATATTTGTGGGTGCCTCAAATTTTGGGATTGTTTTTGAATTATTAGACATGTTTAAGACCTTATTTATTCATGTTAGAACTAGTAAAATATCCCATATGCTTCTGATTTATGTGTGTAGCTTAACCTCAAAAAAATAGCCTTGTATTAGATGTGTGATATCTATCTCTGCTTTCTTGATTCAAATACAAGCCTGTATGAGATGTGTGTGATCTTTGTATGCTTAGACTCGAAGAAATAGCCCTATATTGAACTAGTAAAACACATAAGGGTTGTTTGTTTTGCCTCTTCCTAGGTTCAGTAAAAGGTAGGACCTAACTCGGTCTGAGTCAATGCGTTAGTTTGATATCGTCAGTTGTCGCCTTTTACTCAGTCCTCAAGGTTTGATTCAGTCCGCTAAGAAAATAATTTGATTGAGAAAATGATCCTACCCATATTTTCCTTTCTCCTCTTCTTGAATGGGACTTCACTTTGTCCTCTCCATTGCGTCTCTCAATCCGCTTCAGCCTCGTCGGCCACCTCCTCTACCTTCATCCTCTCTAACGCCGACCACCTCCTTCACCACTGAAATCCTAACCCCTTTGTCTCATGATCAATCACAAATGTTTTCTCTCTTTTTGTCACAACTTGCAAAATTAGGGTCAAGGTTGTATTCATGTACAAACAATTCCTCTATTTAACCTTGTTGCCTTAGATTATTGAATTTCAAAAATGGCAATGTTATATGAATACATATGTGCATACACTAAGAATCAAGTTGTAATATCCTCTTATAAGCCCAAGTTTAACCTAATAGCTAAACAAAATTGAATGTTGGACTTGTGCTTAGGAGTTCTCGGACCAAGTAAACCCTAGGCCGAAAACCCTTTTTCCTTTGGGCCTTATTAAAACCGAAAACCTTCTTATTGGGCCAATTTAAGCCTGAATGCCCATACCCACTCAAAGGCCGAAAACTCTTGGATTTGACCAACCAAAGACCGAGAACCCTATTAAAAAGCCCATGAAGGCCGAAAACCTTATGAGGTTTCAGTTTGGGTTTAGACAAAAAAAGAGAAAAGAAATTACAAATGATGGTGGCACCTCATGCCTTTACACTACTTTATCCTTCATGCTTCCATGACGTACATACAATTACCTTCCATGCCTCTATGCATGACACCCTATTACCCATCATGCATCAAGAAAAGGTCCTACCCCTCCCCATTTAAGGGTTGCGGCCGAGAGGCCTTTTCCCTCTCACAATTTCCACATTTTCTCAAACATTCCCTAGAGCAAACTCAAGCTTCTTCAAAACGTTCATCTCCAAGTCGGATTTAGAGCTTTTTTGGTAAGTATATTCGACCTCTCTCTAGTAGTCGACACAATCATAAGTGTTTTATGCATCTTTAAGCTAGAATCTCCATGTTTACACACTCATTTTTAGTGTGCTAGCGTCCTAGAACACCAACATCTTCAAGAAGCCCTTCAAGCCCAAAGCTAGGCTCGAAATCTTCTTCACTCTCCTCCTTACCACACATGAAATAACCAAGGTAAGCTTCATACACCCAAGTTTTTCGTGTTTTTCATGTTTTTCTGGGGGGGGGGGGGGGGGGGAGGGGGGATACAAGTCAAGTTTCGTTTACCCAATGGATTTTTGCATGCACCAACTTGTTTATGGAATGTTTTGAGCATATGATGTCGAAAATCTCATATATACACACATGAAAATTGTGATTTACAAGCTTATTATAAGTTTAAATGAGTTTATCCATTGGACATTTACATACATTATGATTATATGCTAAATATGAACCATTTCTTGTATAAAATGGTTGATATCATTTGTTAACTACCTAAAAATAGTGACATATGTGATTGTCTATACTTTAGTTACACAAAATCGGGTCTAAAAATAGATGTACTCGAACATAACAAAAACATATGTTTATGGAAGTTCCAAATATTTTTGATCTTTGGGTAATTACATGTCCTACTTTTACAAGTTAAAATTTTATAAATATAAAAGTATTGAGGTCATAGTATGATCTTTATAAAAATCGGGACCCAACAAAGTTGACCAAATTAAACTGTTTTGGTGTTACAAATTTTTAACTGGTAATATATGAAAAGTGCAACTACAAGTTGTTGGAATTTTTTACTAAAAATAAACCTTTTTAGTAAAAATGGTCGTAATTATTGTCGTCACTATTTTTGTGGGGTTAAACATAAGAATATTATGCTATTTTACCAACATATATCAATACTAGACATATTAACTATTGACCATTTATATAAAGTGTTATAAATAGCTTACACAAAATGGTATAGAAAACAAATTGATGACAGTATAGTTAGTGTGTCATAAGACACATGTCATAAAACGTATGTCATGAAACTCATAAAACGCGTGTCATAAAAAACTGTCGTAAAATTTCAAATAGTGAAAATCATTTCGTTATACAATATAAGGGAGTCGTAGTTCGCGTAAATCCGTTAATGCTCTAGTGAGACATTCACTTCACCGTACCTACCTAGCGTACATTTTACGTCCTGTATTATAACCAGAGTCTCCTGGAGGGAGAGCGATATAGTTGTGTATAGATCTATACGGGGTTTGACAACCCCACACCTGAGCTGTTCGCTACAGCTAGACGGGACAGTCTAGGGTGACAAATATCTTACCGATTCCGACGCCTGAAGAATGTCGTACAGGCATAACAGTCACATTAAGTATGGTTATAATAACTCACATAGGGATTAACAATGCTATCTTGATTTACGGGAAGTTTACACTTCACCGGTTTTATAAAAATATAGAACTACATATTACTTTTCAATATACTATTCCGGTCTTGGGATTTAAGACTACAATTTTTCATACATCAGAAAATATTGGATTTTCTGGGAACGCACAATTACAAGATACAAAGTACACGCATATATACATTTTTAGTCTTTGGTACAAGGCATACAACCATTTTTATAGAAAATTTTGGATTTTCTGGAAAGATACAAAATTTTTCAAACAAAGTAGTTGCAAATCGTTTTCATACAAACATGCTTATGAATCCACCAACTTTATAGTTGACGCTTTTCAAAATGACTTGTATTCTCAGGGAACCAGTAAGTAGGTACTTAAGTCATTGGGAATTCGATTTTTGTTGCGTTATGGAAATTTTACTTTTCTGTCTTGGTTATGAACTTTTGAACAAATACATTATGTAAACTATGTAAGTTTGTATTCTTAATATATTTTGTGTGGGTTTCTATGTTTCATTTATATTCAATTATTATGATACTATACAATGACGTCATCCTCCCCCAGACGTTTCCGCCGTCCTGGTTCGGGGGTGTGACAGATTGGTATCAGAGCATTGTTTATAGTGAACTAGTATATCTAACCATACAAGATATACAACTATAAATACAATGGGACTAAAAACACTCCGACTAAAAATATACTTTAAAGATATAAGTATTTTATAGAAAGTATACATATATGTGTGCATATTAAGGGTAGTGTCATAACAAGAAAAAAATAAAAAGTATTTAGAAGAGTTAGACATCGCGATCAAACTTAGACAGTTATGTAGTCATATCTAGCGTAAATATAGCCTGATCAACTATATTTATCCGATATATGACCAACATGTGTTTAGGAGTGGTCGAGGTGGACAACGAATCTAAAACTTACCAACCTTATACCAAAAAGCACTATGGAACCAAACATAAAGAATTAAAATACTACAGGAGTATTTTAGCGCATTATGAACCTTTCATGTACTTCTTATACTTATATTATCGTACATACAGATGGCAGGATTTCATCTTCCGGGAGACCCCTACTTCCCCAACCAGGGGAACGGGGGGTGGATCGAGGAAGATCCAGAGGAGAACCCCGAAGAGCTCATGGAAGAAGAAACAGAGGAGATCGAGGAGGAAGTAGATGAGGAGATAGATAAGATGAGTCGGACGTAGAGACCGAAGTCATCGACCCTCCCTACATGGCTAGGGTACCAGCACACCGATGGGGCTATAATGGCCCTACACCCCATGGGCCTATGATCTTGAGAGATGGAGCTGGCATCAGGGGCAACGCCCACCTTTTGGGATGAAGCGAGGATTTTATGACCTTCTCCATGGAGGACCCCCAGACCGAGCCCTTCTAGTCATGGTCCGGAGGATTTCAGACATTGGAGATCAGGCTCAGACGATAGCCAACCGAGTCATGGAAATGAGGGCTACTATGGTGGTCACGGCCGCACGCACCTGAGACCTCGAGAGGGATTACTACCCTATGGACCGACTCGTCGAGGACCTTACTACCACACTAGCGAAAGTAATGGAATATCAGGAGAGACATGTTGCCCTTGAGGAGAGAGTACTGGTAGCCGAGCGCCGACTAGCCGAGCTGCAGGGTGCTTCTACCTCATCTCAGGCACCGCAGGGGACTACTCGACGTGTGTAGGATCTATCCTACTCACCAGCTATGATAGACTAGATTTTTGTGTATGCGTTAGTGCTACCCTTTTCTTCTA